AGGGGGGGGGGGGGGGGGGGGGGGGGGGGGGGGGGGGGGGGGGGGGTGAGAGTACGACCACTTACCTTGTACCTCATGCTCGATGATTATTCAGCGGGTAGTGGTCCGACGTTGGCCAAGCGGTCGCCTGCAACAAAGAGCAACATCGGCGTGAGACTGGGGGTCGGCTAAACGATGCGCAGCTACGCGGGTTTAAGCGAGACGGAGCGACGGGAGGGGGAGGGGGATGGTGAGGGGGGAGCCTCCCCCCTCGAGGCACAGAGGAGTCGAGCACTCGGTTCGGCTGAAAGGGAGACAGTGCCTTCCTCGTTCGCCTCCCTCCCGCCCCTTAATTGAGAGACCACGGCCTAGTGCTCGACGCACTTGTACGGGCGTCGCGGCGCCATTGCATCAGCCATGAACACGAGTTGGATGATAGCGCCGATGCTTTTTCACGTCGGATCTCCTTATCCTCGTCGGCTCCTTTCCCTTAACCCCCACCCCCTCGTCGTTTTCCATTACTATTTTCGTGGATTATTACTCTTTCGTCTTCTTTTTACTTTTTTCTTTTTGCACATTAGGTAGTCGCGCGTCGTGACTCTTATGAACGACTTATACGTAAGCGCACGGGTTATGTTCTTTTTTTTTTTTTTTTTTTTTTTTTTTTTTTTTTATTTCATCGAGAGTGTCTCGGGTGTTCGTGGGGTTATGCGAGTCGGCTGGAAGCGCCCTCGGAAGACTAAAATTACTTATGAGAAAGTTTCTTTGTAGCGGGCAATGGCAATTACGGATTAAACGCGCTTACATAAAATTATTGATCCGAGTAATTGGGAGGCGTGTAGTACCTATGGGGATATTGTGATAAGCATTGTGACATTAAAGCCCTATTCCGATGCAGCGAGTCGAGCGTCGATTTTACTCTATCTTTTTAATCGTACAGGTAAGTGTTCCTCCCACCCTCGCATTATGCAATATGCAGTTAGTTCTATGCGATTCCACTAAAACTACGTCTACCCGAACGTATTTAATACTTTAAAACCTATAAATTATTTATAAAAAGAAAAGCGAGATGTGTGTCGAAAGTATCGACGTATCGACGTATCGACGTATCGACGTATCGTTTACATACGCTACGTACTTATATATATTAACGCTTATAAAAATAAAGATAAAATTAGTTTAAGATTAATCGTTAGACCGTATAATATAAATGTAGTCGAGGATATTTTTATTACAAAAAATTTCATGTGCTTGTCCGTTTGAGAAGAAGGAGTGACGATTTCATTTATTAGTCACACTTATTTCTTCTAACCTATTTTCGATGAAATTAAAATTTCCATTAAATTCATTCTTTTATTTTTATGGACGAATTACGAGATGACAAAGTAGAATCTCGAATACAGCGTTATAGAAGAGTATTTTAAGACTAAAAGCATAGTGTCTCATCTCAAATAGCAAATGCATTGGTGACCAAGTTTGTGACTTTTCATGCGCTCACATTCCAATACAGTGTGTGTGTGAATTTTTTTTTTTTTTCATTGTAGGTTTTTATCAAAGGTCATTATTTTGAAAGAGAAAAGAAAGGATTGTGTTATGTTCTCAGAATATGAATTTTCAGTTTTATAAAGAATATTCCTATTATAATTATTATTATCATTATTATCATTGTTATTGTCATCAATTATTGTTATTGTCATATATCTGGCATTATCACGTTATTTTTAAATGTAAATCAATTATTTTACCATTTTTCTACCTTCTTTTCTCTCTTCTTTGTTGCGATATTGATATAATATTTTTAAGATAGTTTTTTTTTTGTTGTTTTTATAAAAATATTAATATGTGATATGAAAAAGCATCGTTACTTAAATTATTAGATATACAAAAAATTTTCATTATTAATATAATAATTAGGTTGGGCGCAATCTAGAAATTTGTTACTCTGTAAAGTAATCGTGCAGCATAAAAATATGTAAAAATATGTAAAAGGAGTTCCACGTATGATGAGCAATTTTATTGCGAAGCTTTCACTAATATGAACTTCCAATGAACAACGTAAGTGTGAATCTTTACTAGTGTTAACTGTTTTTTTGATTTTTGATTTTTGATTTTTTTTTTGTTTTTTTTGTTTTTTTTTTGTTTTTGTTTTGCTTAATAAACTATAATTTTCTGGAGAAAGTTATTTGCCTTTTTTTTTTATATTTTCATTCGTAATTTTAAATTATTTCGTATATGTTATATTCTAGACACTACATATGTAAATGGCAATTTGCCCAACATTCCATTCAACTTATTTTACATTTGCCTCACTTTATATTTTATAATATCTTTAACACGTTTCATAAAAGCTCATAAATACTACTGGGCTTTCTAAATTAATTGTGAAACTGAAAATTTCATGGTAAAATTATCTTGAATATAGCATATATTTTTAAAATTTAAATAAATAAGATGTCAATATGCGAAATTTATGTAAAATTTATTTTTCAAAAATATTTAATTTTTTCAATGTAGATATATATATACATATAAATATGAATTTCCCATTATTAATAAAAATAAGTTTTAAGAGATTTCATAAATTCTTCTCAACATTTGACTACATTCAGGCATTAAGTTTATAAACTGGCATATTTTACTCTATTCTCAGCTCTAAGAATTTCTTTGATTTCAAGAATGAATAAAATAAGAGATAAATTGTAAAGCGAATGTTCAAATTCTTTAGTAATTTATATTTAAAATTATACATTATATAAATAAATTAATATTTCGTCAATCGGCAACGAAGAACAAATTTGATAAAGAATCTTGATTTTTCGTAAAATGTCTCGAATATATTACAACAGTGTGAATTTTTCGATTTTTTTTCGATAAGTTCCTTAGAGTTCCTTAAAGCACAAATTACTTATTAAGAAGTAAATGAAAAATTAAAATAAGTATTTAAGTTTAAAAATACTTTCCAAGTATTTTGTTGCTTTCACAAAGAAAAGCAGACTTAGAGGGCGTGGGTGGGGGGGGGGTTTTTTTTTTTGGGGGGGGGTTTTTTTTTTTTTTTTTTTTTGTCGTCGTCGTCGTACAAGCAAAATCAAATTAGTTCAAATGTTATTCGCGGTATGAATCAAAAGTGAGGTTACATTCATATTCAATCCTTTTATTAGATTTTAGCAGCAAAATCCACTCCAATCAAATGAATTTTCAATTCTCCACGGCTCAAGTAGTGAAATTTTCTTATAATGCTGAGGAAGAATTCGTGAGCAAGATACCATCTGAATTATGCGATAAAATTTTGTCAAAAAATTATGTTTTATTAACGAGACAGGATTTATCGATGTTAAAATCAAAATCAATTGAAAAATAATATTAACGAAAAAGGCCGTAAAGTGAATTCAAATTTCGCAGTTTGTATTACATTGAAATTTTCAGTGAAGTGACGTAATATTGGAAAAGCAATATTCTTAATTGCTTTCTATTCTAATTTTCATGATAATTTAATCCATAAATTATGTTAGTATAAAAAAAAAAAAAAAAATAATGGACTTGTTTAAATTATAATATAACAGTTATATACATATATAATTGTAGAAATTTGATGGATTGCAGAATTTTTACAGAAATTTTGTACTTTACACATGTCTCGAGCGTAATGAAATAAACATTATCACTTACATTTGCGATATTAGTCAATGAATCCCAATGGACTCAAAGTTATTTCATTTTTTAAGCTGAATGGGTATATCAATATAACATCAATATATATATATATATATATATATATATATATTTATGACGATCGAATAAACTTAAATACTCATGTGTGTAGTATGAATTCGTAATTGAATCCTGGCTTATTCAAACGTTAAGAAAAAGATTTATTCACCACATTGTTCAATTTACTCTGGTTTCATCTAAGGCAGTAAATTTAGTACCCGAATTTCAATGCATACCTAAACAATTCAGTCTTTGTGCATTTCTACTGTTTATCTCAGCAGTGCTTGTTCCACGGTTCTGCTGAATATTGTTATGAACTGTTCAAATGTACATATTCATTATTTTACGATTAAGCGTCGAGTTATGACTTTAAGCACAAAATACATTTTCATTTGAACATCGATTACACGCACATAATTAAACATTAACCTTGATGTACAAGTCATGAATATTATTCTATTATAAACTATTTATCGTAATAATTTTATCAAACATATCTTATTTGATCTTAAATTAATACTAATAGCTACGAGATAAAGCTTGAGGGGATAAATGTATATGGATATCGTTAATTTCCAATTTCAAATATAAACATTAATGTATTTTCATTCTCAATGCAGATTATTTTTTTACTTTTAATGGATAACGATATTGATATGTTAAAAGTCTAACGAAATATCTCCAAGTCATAGGTAAATCATATATACAATGTATTCAGCATTGAATATATAAATAGGATTTTATCGACACAGTAGATGACAAAGTCATTTTAATAGTCTTTTTACGTTATTTCTAATATCTTCGCCTTAAAATATAATTATTCGTAATTTCATTAAAATATTAACAAATAAGGAGTAAGATATACGCGATAATGTAAAATACGTAAAGATATTTACTGCTATCATGACAAAAAATATATTCATTCAGTCCTAAGGTACAATTTATATAGAATATTTAGCGATATGTTTTTCTAAAATATTAATAACCTAATAAACCATATTAGGTTTATTATGTGGCTAATCGATTGAAATTGAGCCAAATATGTCACGGTAATTGGTATATTTTAAACAAAACGAACGGGGATATTAATTTTTTACTTAAACGGGGTTCAAAGTAAATCTCGTTTTCCGCGGCAAAGCCATTCTTGGCAAATGTTTGCTCGATTTACGCAATTTATATTTCCGCGTTGCGAAAGATACACACAAACACGCATTTGGAAAAAATGGGGGGGGGGGTGGAAATGAGGAAGAACGAGATTGATCGCAGCAGGAAAAAAATTCAAACCATACACTCGCTCCTCTATTTCTAGATCCGTCTCCACCTTCTGAGATCAAAGCGACCGTAGAACTTTGTCGTCGTCGTCGTCGTCGTCGTCGTCGCCGTCGTCTTCGATCCTCAAAGATTGACGATTGAAGGTTGGAATCGAGCGGCACTCGCTTC